CCTATTACTTTTACTGAACAAAGCAGGAGAGAAGTTGTATCTTCATGGGTGGTGTGGATGTTCCCGCTGCTGCCTGACAGCACTTGAGTCCTGGGTGTGAGACTGGCTTGGATTTCCTTCCGTGTGGAGTTTACATGTGTTCCCCACATTTGCATGGCTTTACCCCAGGGATTCTGGTTTCCTCCCTGTGTGTTGGGGGGTTTGAGAAATGACTAGCTTTCCATCCAGTGAAGTCCACTTTACACCCTGTGATTCCAGGACAGGTTCCAGGCTGCCTGACTCTTACCTAGGAATAAATCGTGTTTTGCTAACAGAAGGAGTTGCCACTGTAACGCAAACATAAAAAAAAGTCAACTCTTGACAGCTGTCACCGTAACAAAACCTTTTTTTTAAATGTCAACATTTCATGAATTACCTAAATTGACCACAAGGGGGCGATTTATCTCCGCAAAGTTTATTTACCTGAGAAAACCCGCTGAAACGATTGTGCTCTTGCTGCGTACTGCTTATGACCAAATTATTATTGTTGTAGTAAAGAATGTATGTTTTTAATGTTTAAAGGCAATAGAAGAACTGATGTTCTTAATTTAAATAAGCACTGCTCTACTTTGTATCATTCTTTTTACATTACATGACGGCATTAAAAATGTGAAAGACTGAGTAGTACTTGTTTTCACAGAAAGGCCCTGGCACAGTGTGTTTTTTTATGTCCAGTGATCTCCAGTGATTACCGTTGACATTTGTAATTTTTTATTCACCTCTGGACACACTGAGGTCTGGAGATTGTGACACAGCTGCAGATGGCACTCCTACATTTGTTGTTTTTTAGCTCCAGAACATGCAGTGATGAGTAGAAAGCCAGTTGCCACCCTAAGGATTTACCCTGTAAGATTATCCTTTGTAGGATCAGCTTGTCTCTTGGTATGTTACACAGAATGGATTTTGAAATGTGAGAAATTCCCAGCACTTTAATGAAGTGCCAGAGATGTGGGGCAATTTTCAGTAAACATATGGCCATCATTGATTGTAGCCATGGAAACGGCAACTCTTTCTCACCAGAACAGTTTCTGGTGATATCTGAGTGGCAGACCTGAAACATAATAAAAATAATAAAGGTTTTTGGCAGTCGCAGGTACAGGCTCTGAGAGTTTCACATTAACTAACACCGAGGAAGAGGGCAAATTATGAGCAGTGACTTTTATCAATGGTTACCTTGGAAACTAAGTAACAGGATAACATAATTAAGCACTTTAAGCTGCTTGAATGCAGGCCTTGTAGTTTCAGGGAGGATATGAAATGCCTTCCAGACAGAAGTACACAGACCCTGAAAGGTATGAAAGGTGATCCGTGATCCTTATACAGATTTCTGCATGTCAGGAAAAAAAGTAAGCTCCCAAACTTGTACAGGCTGCTAACTGCAGGAACTGTCCACACTGTACATGTACCTGGTAATTATTGAAGCCTGCGGTCACAACTTTGTGTGAAAAACATTAGATTAGTGAAACAGATGGTAATATTATCTAAATTGCCATGGATAATATATTGCATGTCATTTGGACATTTTGAAACATAAACAGCTTAAGTACTCAGCGTTGTGCTGTTAGACTGGTCTTAAAAAATGAGACAGGAGCATCCTTTAGGTTTTTCCTTCTGCTTTTACTTCTATTTATCTCACTGTAATGTGGGTAACCAGCCACTAGAAGGCATTGTTGATCAGCATTATTATGGTCTGTTCCCACAAATTATGAGCAGTTAATATGATTTTTTTTACATTTTAAAAATTGCCAAGTTTTTTTTTAAGAACATAAGGCTGCAAACAAGATGCTAGTCCATATAGCCTGTTTTGGTAGTTACAGTAGTTGTGCGAGACTCTTGAAAATATTAAATACTGTTTTTTAAAGGAAACCAGGGTATCTGTTTCAACAATATGCCTGGGTAGCTTATTCTGTGCTCCCTTTGGAAACAGAAGTGCCTCCTATTTGCAGTGTTTAAATGTCCTCTTGTGTAGCTTCCACTTGTTCTTTGTTTTGTGTTTTACTGTTCGTTCTGAAGTATCTCACTGGGTTAACGTTATGAAGGCTTTGTATCAAAATCAATCATTCTGATGCAAGATGAATAGCTTTTTGTATCTACGGGCATGTAGAATTCTGCGCTTGTTGACATTAACCATCATCTGCCAGTTGTTTGCCCAGTTTTTATGTAAATATTTTTTAATTTCATTTGCTGCTTCATTGCTTTGGCTAATCCTCCTATTTCGATATCTTTTGCAAACGTGACTCAGTTACTAACTACTCCACAATCTACATCATCGATATATGAAGAGCAGTGAACCTAGTGAAGAGTGCTGTAGCACTCCGCTGATTATATAACCCCAGATTGAGCAATCACTCCTTATCTTTGCTATTTTAAATCCACTAACCATTCGCAATCCAGATTTCCTTAAACCCACATATCCTGTAATACCTACCTCCAGTAATTTGAGAATTATTCTTTTAGGAGGAACTTAACCCATCTAAAAACAAAACCCATCTGACCATCTAAAAAACACCATATTGTATACGGTGTGTGTTAATCCTTGTTGTTTGTTCAAAGAACTCTTAACAAGTTCATTAAGGAAGACCTGCCTTTTCTAAATCCATGTTGATTACTCCCTAGGGTCCTGTTTCCATATAGGTGATTTATTATACAGTATACCCATCCTCTTCACCACCACTAAGTGTGTCTCTGTGCCTCAGCTCACAGTGACAACCCCTCTATCACCCAGGGGAAATGATGAAGTGTAGACAGCTCCACTGACTTTGCCCACCAAATACACCAGTCAGTTTAGCACATTATGAATTCACACTAGTGATGTGCAAAAGGTGCAGCACTGAAGAAAAGAGAGGGGTATTCCTCGTTATGGTCGCCAGAAGCAGAGAGGACACTTTTCTTGGGAGACCAGAGATTCCCCGGCTGACCCCTTCCAGCTCTACGTGTTGTTTCTGTGATCCAACCATGTGCTGACCCTTGGTCCCAGGTCCCAGTGAGTAGCACATCCCAGAACCTGTAACTCAGGCACGTGGGTCATTTTAGCTTTTATTGGTTTTATTTGCTTCTTCCCAGATACAGTGCAGCAACATGTCAACAGAAATGATCGTAAGTGTTTTGAAAGCCACGTTCTTTTTTCCACCTTGCTTATGAGTGTCCTATGTTAAGTGATGAAAACATTCAGCAGTTTCATTGAGTAGCTTTTCTTCTCAAACAATCTTACTAACAAAATGGTAACAGGCGAAATTCATTCAAAAACCATGATCTTCTTACAAAATGGGGGAAAAAAATAGCTTTTGGTCAGGTATTAGTTGCACATTGGCTTTCTTCTTTTCTCATGGTCTGATAAAACAGTACCTTCTGTGAAATCATTTCTCTGTTACCGCAGTTCACCTCCTGTGAAATCATTTCTGTGACTGTGTCCACAGTTCACCTCCTGTGAAATCATTTCTGTGACTGTGTCCACAGTTCACCTCCTGT